CAGTCTCGCCTGCTGCAGCAGCAGCTCTCGCTGCTGCTGCTGCTGCTGCTGCTGCTGCTGCTGCTGCAGGTGGTTAGACGACGTGGAGCGTGATGGGGACTTTGACGGAGACAAGCTGGACGAGTCTCCTTCTGTTTGCTGCCAGGTTTGCTGCTGCAGCAGCAGCAGCATGTCTTGCATAGACGAGAACCAAGTGGGCCCTGAAAGTCCCCTTAATGAGTTTGCCAGTCTCCAGCCGCACCTCCAGCCGCTCCCGCTGCTGCTGCTGCCGCTGCTGCTGCTGCTGCTGCTGCTGCTGCTGCTGCTGCTGCTGCTGCTGCTGCTGCTGCTGCTGCTGGAGGTGCAGCAGGTGGCTGCTGGGGAAGGCAAACAGCAGCCTGGCCAGCAGCAGCGCCCCCACGGCACTCAGTCTCCTCCCAGTCAAGGACTTCTCCAACTGTCTCCTGTCTCCTTTTCCTCCCCTCAAGATCACTTCCACCACTTGCTGCGGCAGACTCGCAGGAGACACCCCCAGCACTTCCGCGGCCACTCCGCTGACCATTGGTGCGGCCATGCTGGTCCCACTGGTCACTCTGTAGGCCCCTGGGGGCCCCCCGGGGGCCCCCCCCGTCCCGGGGGCCCCCAGGGGGCCCCCCCCCTTCCCGGGGGCCCCCGGGAGGCCCCCGGGGGGCCCGCCGGGGGCCCCAGGGCCCCTCAGGCCGCCCCCAGGGGCGCCCCCCGAAGAAGGCCCCCCCAGGGGGCCCCCCCCCAGGGGGCCCCCCCCAAGGGGCCCCCCCAGGGGGCCCCGCTCCAGGGGGCCCCCCAGGGGGCCCCCCAGGGGGCCCCCCGGGTGGGGGGCCCAGGTGGAAGCGATGAGGTCCCCAGGGGCTGTTAAGTGAATCGTCTTTTTGCCAGTGTTGGCCCAGGGGGGAATCGAACCCGCGCGGTCAGTGGCGGAGACAGTGAGGGAGTTGTCGCGGAGGAAACAGGCGGGGTAAAAAGGAGACAGCGAAATGTCGAGGCCTTCGTTGCCAGCAGCAGCAACGAAGACGCAGCCGGAGGCGCGGGCCACCGCCTGCTGCAGCAGCAAACCCAGGATGTGCGCTGCAGCGCCTGCAGCAGCAGCAGCAGCAGCAGCAGGGAAAGCGGCGGAAAAAGCAGCGGAAAAAGCAGCAGCAGAGCAGCAGCAGAAGCAGCAGCAGCAGCGCAGCAGCAGCAGCAGCAGCAGCAGAAACAGCAGCAGCAGCAGCAGCAGAAACAGCAGCAGCAGCAGCAGCACGGCAGCAGCAGCAGCAGCAGCAGCAGCAGAAATCATATTTCCAACTCGTTAGATTTCGAGTTTTGCTTCTTTGCTGCAGCAGACGCTCAAGAAGGGCTTAGGGGTTAGGGTTTAGGGTTTAGGGTTTAGGGTTTGGCGTTAAGCATTTCGCGTTTGAGGCTTAAGGACTAGCGTTTAGGGTTTAGGGTTTAGAGCTCCTATTTTCGGCTACCCGCTTTCGCGTGACGTCTTTTGGCTGCTGGCTAGGGTTTAGGGTTTAGGGTTTAGGGTTTAGGGTTTAGGGTTTAGTACCGCTAACGCCTCCCCACGAGTTGGG